GGATTGCGGTGAGAACGGTGAAGTCAACGGACTGAGTGAGAAAGCAACAAAGCTTGGCGTGCTGTTGAGTTTGTTCGGATGACAAGCAGAATTTCTCATCAAGGCAGGCAGTGCCACCACCAACCGAGACAATTGCTGTTGGTCAGACTCAAAGTCAAGAGTCTAGAGTCTAGGGGTGAGATTCTGCGGTTCTATTCACTGGTTGCGCCCATTGAGGAGATCGCGCCATGGCCGAATCCAGCGTGTATTGCAGGAACGTTGGAAGATAAGACGACGCTTGGGGGACCATTTGCTGATCATACCCAATAGGAATGACTCTGTCGTTAGTTGGGTTTGACGACCTCCCTGGAGGATCGAGTCTTCCGGTTTCGTCTACAGCTGCAGCGTTTGTTCACTAACCGTCTGTATATCATTCACTGCCGAGAGCCGCTGATCTTACTTTTTCTTTGTCTCTGATGATTTCTTTTCTTTTACTTTTTCTCCGTCGATTTACTTGCTTGCTGGCCATGATTTGATGGTGGTTCCAAGACATAGGCGAATCCAAAAGCCAACCTCACCATGCTCGATGGCTGGGATATTCTGAGGCTTCAGATGGCGCGGTTGAACTTCTTGTGTGTCGATCTATCTGTACCCAGTGTGACAGCCCTCGTCTGGGGTTGGAAAGCTGGGGGAGACTGGGGGACGCGAGACTGGGGAGAGACGGTGACCCGAAGGAACGTGGCATCACCTCCACACCCTCCCGTAGTCGACACCCAACAACCTCAACCCACGGCTCAGAAGACAGAAACCACGCCGTCCTACTCGGTTGTGCGGCGCACATGGAGTTACCGTGCTTATCGAGCTTGCCAGGGAACTAGTTACACCCCCCTTTATCCCCTTCCTCTGCCGCAGCAGACTTGCCCCTAGCCTCCAGTCTTGACACTCGCAAGAAGCGCACCACAGGCTGCCCTACGGTGACTAATGCCCGCTTATACTCTTCGGTACACATCAGAAGCATGTCCAGATCACAATGTACAAGGCAAATTGGCCATTGTCCTACCCTCCGACCCTGCTCCCATACAGAGGTCGGATGACGAAGGGCTGTCGAGGTTTCAGAACAGACAGCGCCACCAATGTCCGAAGAAGTGGTCGAGGTCCTTGAGGAGTGAGGAAAAGGGAGGAGGAAGCCGGCTCCGTGTGGTGTCGGTGAAGCGTGCGAACGCCCGGAGACAGTCCCAAAGCGGCATCCGATCACTGGTCCAGTGTAACTCGGATGACCAACAAGGCGTCTAACATGTCGAGCCATACCGCGTTTGTCCGGTCGGTTCATCCAAAGGGTAGGCTCAAGCACCACGGCCATACTACCTTATTTTTATTTTTTATCTCTTACCCCTTCAATCCCCTGTCACCTTATTTTTTGTGGTATATTTTCTTTGCAGGTCACGATCTTGGTCGAATAAGGAATGGTTCGGGTTCGTCAGTGGTGGTGGTGGTCTCCCGGCACCCCAGTTCATGCGCCCTTACTCGCCCACAGGCTAGGGCCGATATTTTAATGAAATCACATCGAACTAGTACGGAGAAGTCGGCTATTCGTACAGCAGAAGGTCGTCACGCTGAACTTATTCATACGACATACGCAGGGTTGATTGGTGCCGCCGAGAGAAGGAAAGAGACAGGGAAGGATGAGTAATAAAGGCAAGAAAGAAAAGGTCCGGAGACTTGCGGTGGCATGCAGGTTTGATAGCTTGTCCCATGCGCCGCGTGCCGACAAGCGCAAGGAAAGGCGGGCAACCCTCAGAGAACGAACTATTCAGGGCTCCCGAGTCCCCATCCTCGCCGCTTAGGGTAAGGTACAAGTCTCCGTCAGGTAAGGTTACTGAGGAAAGTAAGGTGAGGTGGGCTGGCTAAAGGTCCAATTCCCCGTCATACAGCTTAGTGAGGCAAGGCGAGGGATCTTTTGAAGTCTAGTACCTGAAGCCAAATAAGCGGCACGATGCGTGATGCGTGACGGAGGCGGTTGTATTTCCCAACCCCCACCTGCTTTAACTGCAATCCCGAAAAGCTCCAGAATGGAAAGTGCAAAGTAAAGCTTTCCAGGCATGAAGCCGTTCGAAAATGCTTTCCATGCTGACGGTATGGGCTAAGAATTATGGTATCCCCTGAGATTCCGAGTACTTGGCTGCCTTTGGTCTAAATGGGTGCAAATGGTCTCCAATCCAACCCTCATGCATTCATTCCCATCCACACCGGACCATGACCATAACCAGAACCAGTCAGTCCTTCAAGCCATTAAATACCATCAGAGGTGTCTAAAAATGCAACCTATGGAACGCTTGTGTCTTTCAAGACATCCGTGAACCCCCCCTTGTGGTTTTTAATTCTTCACCTTCCCACACCCCCTTCGCGAGCCCGTCTCTCACTTCTCACTACCTACTACTTCTCCCTCTCAGTCACTTTTTTTTTCTTACTCTTCAGCCCTCTCTTGTCTCTCAATCCTGTCTCTCATCTCTTTCCTCGGTCTTTCGCTAGATCGCCCTCACGTTTCTCTCACACACACATACGCACACCAACACCACGCAAATTCAAGTTGTGTTGTCTCTCCAATCCTTCCTGCGCCAGCCACCATCCACAAAAAACCCACACCCTCCATCGTCCGAGTTCAGCCAGACCGGGCTCCCGTCCCATTCTCTGTCTCGCCATCACCACGCGCGCATACGGAGAGGCATAAGAAGCAAGAGAGTCACAGGTAATCGCACGCTTGGTGGCAGGTCTGAAGTTTGTCCCCGTGAGGTACATATTGTCTGGGACCCTGCGAGACTAGCGACGCACACTACCACCAACACGTCTTCTCTTCCATCTTTCCGCCTTTTCTTGCTGTCTCTTGTCTCTTCTGTCACTGTTACTTGTCTCTGTTTAATCGACCTTTGCGTACCTCAACATCACACACATACGCACACACACAAACCTCGCCCAACCTCATTCACCACCTCCAACCGCCGCACACCGGCACGCACACACGCACGCACCAACAGCCCCAAAACGCAGGTCCAGCGCCTTGGACGTTCCCAACAGCCGACAGGACGACAGGACCCTTGGAACCGCGAAAGGAAGAGCTCTCCGACCCACTTCACCTGCCTTGGTCCAGACTTACGGTGGTGCATTTCGCTCGCTTGAACCTTGGATTGAGTCCGCGTGCTACTTGCTTGCTTGCTTGTCCAGTTCCTATGTCCCGGTCGTATGACATATACATAACCCCAGGACACCCCGAGACCGCTCTTCCATTAATTCAAGGGCCACTCAACTTTCCAACTGTAGGACCTTCTTCATCTTTTCCCTCTCACTCGCAGTGGTGTACTCAACCGGCGTTCACGTCAAAGGAAAGCCTTCGTTTTTGGCAGCGGATGTTACCTACATGACTACCCCTGCCAGGAAACAAACAACCTTAACTACCCGACCCGACTTGCTCTGACGATCAACCCACCCCCGCGTTCTCTCAGTTCACTCAGTTACTGGGGCATCTCTATTCATACATAAAAAGCGCCATCCGTCCGCAAACGGTCTTTACGACTACGTCTTGTTTTCGAACAAATTCGGCACACGTCGCACACTTCGCATTTCAGAATCAGTCCGAATTTTCAAACATTTCAAGTCTCTAATTGAAATTTTAATCCCAAGTATCGGTGGAGTAGCTTCCATTCAGCGATCGACATGTTATACAACATGAGCTACCCTCGTGATCAGCCGAAGGCGGCGGCAGCTCAGCCTGTCAAGCCAATCGCCCCTCCTCGGCCGAGACAGAGGTGCTCGCAGCCGATGCCTTTCGACCCCGAAGAGTTGTCTCAAAAACTCGTCAAGGTACTTGCCGATCAGAAGCTTCACGCCGAGAAGAGAAGGAGAGCCAGAGCAGAGACCACCGCGCCATTTAAACCGGCAGCACCAGCACCAGCTCTCAACGGGCTACAGGATGGTCACCCACAGCATGCAAGCTTGGCCAGGGAGTATCTCGATCAAGGGTCGCTCAAGCCTGGCCAGTCCACCACCACCAGACCTGCGCCGCCAGCCGTAAAGCCAACCAAGCAGAGAGTGGACTCTGGCAGCTCCGCAAGGTCAAAGTCGAAGACGTCTGACGCAGATAACCGCAGCTCTAAGTCTGGCGGAAAGGACTCGGCTTCAAAACGCAAAGGCTCTGACGGTGACAAGCATCCCTTCATCCCACAGTTCGCCGCGGCGCAGTTCTCACGCACAACAACGACCGAGACGTCAGACAGCAAAGGTCTCGTTCGCAAGCTGTCAAGGACGGCCCTGAGAATTGCTCAAGGCCACCGCGAGAGGCACCAGGACCGCGCCCCCATCACCCACGAACAGATTCCGGAAATGGCCGAGTTGGGCAGCCCCCGCGCGCACCGTGACCGTAATCACCACAGACACACAATTGAAGGACCGCTGGGCGTTGGGCGGGCCGGTGAGATGGACCATTCCAGGTCCGCCAGGCGAGCGACGACCGGCGACATTCTCCTCCCCTTTGAGTCTGGTGCTTCTTCACCGTATCATCTTGACGATCCCGAAGCGGCGGATCATAACCCCTATGAGCACCGCGTGGACTGGACGCAAAGCGATGAGGCGCAGCCGCAGCCAAAGACGAAGCCGTCACTGCGCAAGGCGGATTCTATATGGGCCCTGAAGCATAAGCTCGGAGCCCTCACCAGACACGGGCGGGAAGAGAATCACTCCCGGGACAACAGCCCGCCGTCCGACACCGCCTTGAGGTCGCCCAAGAGCGGATTCTTTGCGCGATTCAAAGTCAACCACTGAGCTCTGAAAGAAAACTTTTGTCAAGGGAGTAAATAGGACCCTTACCTGATGATCGATACCATCTATGCATACACGGCGCTTTTACAGCACACTTGCACTTGAACGTGTGTCTGCGTTACGCACGCCTTATCCAACACAGGGCCGCCGCATGAAACACGCAGGCGCCCTTCCTAATCATGTCATAACCAAAACCAAAACCAAACGCCCTCTCACCCGCGGTCCTCCGTCATGAGGCGCCTAATCAGCTCGGCATCCTTCTCGGCCGCCTGTTTCCTAATCACCTCTTCTGCCTCTGCCGCCGCGCTCGCCTGCGACATGAGGTGATTGATGAGCTCGACATACTCCCTCACGCCCTCGCCGTCCTCGCCGTCGGCGGCCCTTGCCCTCCGCAGCGCCTCCTTCCCCTTGCGGATCCCGACGTCGTGCGTCCACTGTTCCTTTTTCGGGTTCGCGGCCGCCAGCGCCCGCGCCTTCATCATGTCGTTGAGGCTGCTCCCCGTGGACTGCAGTTCCGGCGGCGGCTCCGTGGCGGCAAAGATCTCGAGGAGTCGCGCCTGCAGAGTCGGGTACCGTCGGAAGAGGTACTGGAGCTGATCTGAGTCGTCGAGGACGCTGAAGGGGTTCCTCGGGTCGCTTGCGGCGGCAGCGGCGCTGCTCGGCGCAGGGGGTTCGATGGCGGCTGAGGGGGGTTTCGGCGCCGGTTCGGGATCGGGCGGGTGGTTCTCGCGGTGCGTTTTGTTGCACGGGACGGAGCAGCTGGAAGGAGAAGGAAGCGCACAAGTCAGTAAAGATAATGTATATAATGAGAAACAAAAACACGCATAATGAAGAATGAGCAACTTTTGAAGACATGAATACACAAAGACAAAGCACAAAATGTTACGTACAATGGTAATGCGCAGCGCGTGCACTTGTATTTTCCCTCTTTTTCGTGACACACGCCACACGTCTTGGTCTTTGGCGCAGACGGAGGAGGCTGTATCGTCGTCTCTGGTGTCTCGTCTGCCGCGGGCTGTGTCTGTGTCGTTTGCGCCGCGGGAGCTTCTGCTGCTGCTGAACCCTCACCGACGCCCTGCTCGCCCTCACACTCGCCTTCACCCGCTGTCAGTGACGCATTCGCCATCGCCGCTGTCGTAGCTCGCGTCTTTGCTTCGCTATCGTCGTCGTCGTCTTGCGAGGGGCTCGTTGCACGGGACCGTTTCGTGGCTGGGGGGTGGGATTCGGGTTCGGTTGCTAGGTCGTCTTGTGCGGCGCGTTTGGGGGATGTTGGGAGGGCTGCATAGGGGGATGTGTCGTCTGGGATTGACATCTTGGAAGAAGAAGGAGGATGGGAAGGGAAGCTGGCGGTTTGGTTGTTCTTGTTGCGGTTATAGCAGGGCGTCGGGGGGAGGAGATGGAAGAGGTTGTCGGTTCGGTCACGGGTCGCTGGTGAAAAACGAGGGTCCGTGGAAGAGTGTCCGTTTGCTAGGAAGTTGCTCTCCTTTGTCGAGTATGGTACGTCAAACGTTGGATGTCGATGTTGCCGTGACGCCGGCCGAAAGGGGGAAAAAAAAGTAAATACGGATAAAGTGCTGACTAGAGACAAGGGTGAGGTCAAGCCTTTGCGGTTCAGGGTACGGATAGGTAAGGTAGGTTGGTCAAGGATCGAGATAACGTCGTTGGTCGTTTTTTTAGTAACGATAACCCCGCGTTCTTTTTTTCCTTTCTGTTTTCTTTCCTATTTTTCTGCCAGTTGGGTTGGGAGAGACTTCTCTGCTTTGGGCTCTTTTTCGAAACCTTTTTTCTGCCGTCTGTCTGTTTGACGATATTCCAGTGGGGCGTTTCCTCCATAATACTTGAGGTATGTAGGCTTTGGGAAAGCGGGCGGTGAAGGAGCCCCTTGACCGCCAAAACACCTTACCTTAGCTGTTCCCGAGCTCCCCACAAAAGAAAATCACTTTCAAATCGGGAATTCCACGGACCAACCCGAGGGGTTCCATGAGTGGCAGTTTTCTGCGTCATTCTTACCCAGCTGTCCGAACGCCCCCCCCCCCCCCCGGGCACTGACTGTGTGGTCCATCTTAAGGTGCCATCCACTGACCCCCCGTGCCCCCCGAAAGGACCCAAAACTGACCAATTCACGCAGAGAGCCTCGATGATTGGTAATGCAACGCCTCGGAATTGAGAGGCAACGGCAAAAAAAAGTGGAAAGCTCGTCCAGTTTTGTCAACCTTTTTCCTCGCGCTGTAATTTGCCCTGCTCTCAAAATTCGAAAGGTTCCGTCACCGGATGTAATGCCGAGGGTGTGAGGTTTGGTAAATTTGTACGTTCTGAATAATCAACATTTCGACATTACTTGTTCCCTCAACATTTACGACTTTTCTCCTCACTCTTGGACGATCAACCACTTCCGCCCCTCGACATTGTATATTCACTCAACAACGACCACAGCGAAGAATAATCGGATCGGAGACCACCCGACGGCCATCAAACACATTTCTCTTTCGCCACAATGTCATCGTACAGAGCAACGAGGACGGCCCTCCGCGCCGTCGCGCGCACAGCGAAGCCCGCCACCTGCAGACCCTCACAATCGCGATCCTTCGCCAGCGTACACACCGGCCTCCTCCAAAACAACCAAACATCACAACGCCGCCCGACAACAACAAGTCGACACCAACAATCATCGCTGCAGCGCCAATCCCCCTTCGCCGCCCGCACCGGCGCCGTCCGCACAATCTTCATCCAAACCGAAAACACACCCAACCCAGACGCCGTCAAATTCCTCCCGAACCACCGCATCCTCCCCGACACCCTCTCCACCCCCTTCATCGAGTACCTCAACCCGCGCTCCACCATCGCGCCGCCCTACCCGTCCCCGCTCGCCGCCCAGCTCATGAACATTGACGGCGTCACCTCGGTCTTCTACGGCGCCGACTTCATCACCGTCAACAAGTCCCCCGACGCGAACTGGGCGCACATCCGCCCCGAGATCTTTGCTCTCATCACCGAGGCCATCACTTCGGGCCAGACCATCGTCACCGTCTCGGCGGACAAGGAGGGCGGTGCTGGCGGTGCGGCGGCCGACGGCGCCCCCGAGGAGCCCGATAGTTTGGCGTACGATGAGAACGATAGCGAGGTCGTCGGCATGATCAAGGAGCTGCTCGAGACGAGGATACGGCCCGCTATCCAGGAGGATGGCGGCGACATCGAGTTCCGCGGGTTCACCGACGAGGGCACCGTGCTGCTGAAGCTCCGCGGCGCGTGCCGGACATGCGATTCTAGCACCGTGACGTTGAAGAATGGTATTGAGAGCATGTTGATGCATTATGTAAGTTGACACTCTACACCTTTGGTTCTTTGGTCTGGAACTTCATTGGGCATCGCCGCCGAAAACAACCGTTGAACATACGTGCTAACGTTGGCGTACCTAGATCGAGGAGGTCAAGTCCGTCGAGCAGATCCTCGACCAAGAGGAGGAGATTGCCATCCAAGAGTTTGCAAAGTTTGAGGAGAAGCTCAAGTCCCAAAAGGGACCCGAGGCGACCGCGGCATAAGAAGCCGCATGCTGGAATGCGATACGAGGAGAACTGTTTAGAAGTTTTTCCCAAACCAGTTTCTAGAACGGCGAACCAACAAGATATTGGGGAGGCGCACGATACCTGTAGAATTGCTGTACAATTAAAGAGCAACGTTTAATCCGGCTTCAACCCGGTGACGTAGACAATACCCACTACCAAAACCGTACACTACCGTTCCTTTATCACAGCCTCGTCCACATCTACGTAGAGGTACGCCAGCCTCGCATAGGCAAGGAGAGCACTGACAATGATTTGATACGAGACCTACCTCGCAAACCGCGGTCGCATAGCCTCGTGTTCGGTCGGATATAATGCCTCACTGACGCGGACTGGGCTGCATCGCCTTGAAAGTAAAAAAAGGTCACGTTCCGAGCCGAGGCCGGTCCAGGTCCAGATGGATGACGATCTGGGCAAGCCTATGAGGGCCTTTTGCGCACAACCCTACCACCGGCGGCGTCAAGTCAAATTGCAGAATTCAGACCAATGCCGTCGACAATGCGGGTAAAGATCATCCATGGCCTGCTAGACAAGCCGCGTTCGAGACCAATATCGGTCGTAACGAAATGCGCAGGCCCAGCAGGGTTGGCGGAGGGTTTTCTCTATTGCCCTCGCCTTGATTGGACTCTGGCCCAGCCAAGGGTTGCTGGAGCGGATCAGGGCGGGGAGCGGGGGGTAGTTGTTCCCGTGCAGGAACCCCTCATCGAATCATCGAAACCCCTCAACTCTCTGGCGTCTTGACGTCCCCACGGTCCAGCAATCCAGAGAGTGGTTTTAACGTTCAAGCCCTTCCAAGTTCCGTACCGTATCAGAACGGCCATGTCCGGCTTGTTTCCCACCCCTCTTTCTCTCCTCAAACAGGCCTCAGCAGGAGGTCGTCGGCCCACCGACTTCCTGGCTCGTCTTTTCTGCTCGGTCAAGTTTAGGTTCCTTGACTTCCGCTGATCTCGTGCCGCATCTCCTCATCATCATGCCAGTCTGCCGGGTGCATGCCTGTTCCTTCTCTGTCTCCGTACCGAGTGCCACCAGCGCCCCATAGAAGGCGATTGGCAAACCCCTGTTGAGGTTGCTCCAATATCGCAGTACAGAATGAGTTGCGAACAACAAGCTATGGTATTGATGCCGACTTGCACTGCAGTCTGAGGTAGACCAGATGCAAGAGCGGAACAGTTGCGGTCGCCGCGCTAGGTGGGCCAGTAGAGGGTCGATCTTGGAGACCCTGAGTATCCGTCTTTAGTTGCAGTAGCGCCACTTGGTGGGCAGCAACTTGGAAGAAACCCAATACTCCAAGGTCAAACTTCCAGATGGTTCCCTTCAAGATCCGCGCAGGTGCTCCCAGGTTGTGAATGCTTGACGTCCGCTCAGACGTTTTTCTGGTCGCTTTTTGACTTCTGGCTTTTTGGGGAGCCGTTGCAGCAGCCGCCCACGGTTGAGTTTAATGACAAGATGAGAATCCGGGGTAAAGCCCCCTGGCTGATTTTGACTTTCGCCCTCCATCGGCTTGGGGGTGTCGTCGATCTCCAGTGACGGTGCGGTACGCTACGTTTCGTTGCCGTCTTTGATAGTCGCATTTGTAGACCATTAGATCTCCCTGTCGACTACAGAAAATAGCAAGGTATTTCTCGTCATCTTCGTATGCGTGATATAGGTTGGGTTGCTAGGTCTCAAGCACGGCGCACCTTCCAAAACTGAAGCGTGACGCTCACACTCACTCTCACCATGGTGTGGTTGATAGACAAGCTGCAAATTAGGAGTAGAAAGGCATCCAAACGGCCAGAGCAAATCCTTCAACGGAATGCGTTCATGATCTCCTCATATCTTGTCGATGGAATTCAAATGCGCGATTCTGCGCATCTAGTAGTGCGTCGACGTAGAGGCGGAGACTCATTCGGGGTCGCATATATCTCAAATACGCACCAGATATTATCTCCGCCCACCGGTTGCCGGCAGTGCGTTCCTCCATCGTCGTCAATACTGCTTACCTGGATTTACATCTGATTCGATATCGAAAGCTCCGAACCGTGCCATATGCCTAGAGTCTGGATGATGCCACTGTGAGGTCGGTGAGACAATCCAATCGAAGAAGCCTTTGAAGATGAAGGAGGTTAGCTTGGTGATGGGCGCGCGTGACATGCTGCAGCAGCCCGTTTACTCCACAGATCCTTACCCCTCTCGGTCTCGGAGAAGTGCCCTGAACCCAGACCTCCATCGCCAAACCTTCTGCCTGCATCTGCACATGCACCTCTGCCTCTGGTGGTTGCTCCCTTTGGCATCAGAGATGGTAGGTAGTGATAGGTAGTCTGCTCTAGGTCATTGACCGGTGATACCCAGTGCAAAAGCTGGTCCGTCATTTCGTAGTTCGTAATCCTCTCTCTCCCTCTCCCTCTTTGCCGATAGTAGTGGCCGTGGCTCCAGATTTCTTGCATCATGGCACTTGGGACCATGCCTCCTCTTCCGCTGATACTTGTGGAACAGGGTCTCGGCAACTTTGAGGCGTCTCATACTGACATTAACTGGTATAGACTGGAAGACATTTCCCTGTGCCTTGTCACCTTGTTTGAAGCGTAACGTGAGCCCACGGACATTTGTAGAACATGGATCTAGTGCGGGGTGGTGAGGGATGAGGACCGATGGCAAGCTGCAGAATTCCAGCCACCCTTGCAACTTTCAACGGCAAACCTCCAAACTTTCCAGGGAAACCGCCATGCGAACATCGACCCCGTGGCTCCCGCTGCTGTACATAGTGTTCCCGGACATGATGGCGGCGTGTGCTCTTTTTTTGCGTTCAAGAACAGGACGTGTTTGGATCATGACTGTGTCTCACGTACGTCCGCGGCCTCGGCCAAGCAGTAGAAGGGTGAGACCCTGCAACGGCGAGACCACCAGATGTCCTTGGGCACTTGGGACGATGGATGCAATCAACCGGTTGGCTGGCTCGACTTGCTGGTGGTTCAAATATGCTCCTCCTGATTGCAGCGCTATGCCACCGCTGACCGAAGTTGGACTTGGCCTTTTGTTGATCAAGGGGCGAAAAACCGCTAGAGGTTGGAGGATCGGCGATGGGCGAATGGGCTCAGCCTGTTACAGCCGCATAGAGGTCAGATGGCCACTTCATGCCCGGAGGCTGAGGGAAAGCATGCAAGAAGAAAGCTGCAGTATTAACGGCATCGTCGGGGCCATTCTGACCACAGGTAGTATCCATGTCGATGATCCGGAAAAGTTCGTTCCTCGCTCACGCTGGTTTTCCTCGGTGTTTCGATAGCGTAGTCTCGCTGAACGATAGTCGCATCTCTAGAAGTTGTTCTTAGCTCCCAAATCCCCGACCACGGAAGAATGGTGGGCCGAAGGGAACGTCGGATTTGCAAACATTGTAGCGTCGGAATCTGTAAGAACAATAACTCCAATTTGATGTATGAAGTACACCGCGCTGGCGAATATCTGAGGTGTATGCGTATACCGCCGTCGACTGTGGTACATGGGCGCACTATGCAGACGTATCACACAACGCCTTCTCTGCAGGCATTGCATGTCATGAGCGGGGTGGTGGTGATTGAGGTGATTTGTCGTTGTAGGGCTCGGAAGAATCTTATGCGTGAGTGCCATCATTTTCTGCAGACGCGGATGAAGGATTGACAATGGGAGACAGCAGTGCAACCCGCTTTATTCGGTAAGCTTCTTCATCGTCGAGGCTCAATATGGATACGGCGTCGTTGTATGCCAGTGCCGTCATTCTCGCGACTTGTCGCCCGAGTCTACTGTATATCGAACTCTCGGCCGGAGCACAACTAAGTAGTGAGGATTTGATGAGTATGTAATCATGCAGACCGAGGTAGCATCGATGTACGAACAGAGGTCCAGTCATGAACTAGCGAGAAAGGTAGCAATGCAAGAGGCAGCGCACTGAAGTAGAAACAAGACGTCCCCGTCGAGGTGCCACTGTAAGGTAGATTCGGATGTACGGGGAGGAGCCAAGACGTCGTGAGAGACTCCCATGTACTTCGTAAATATTGTGCATGCTATTAGTAGGTAGGTAGATGCGAACACCTATCACCGGGCGGGCAACTTTGATGGCTTGTTTCCAATTTCGATTCCATCTGTCTGTCATAATGGAAACAGAGTCCGTTCCGGTAGGTTCTGTTTCCCCGCTTCCTTCCCTCTTGGCCCCGAAACCCACGATATGTCGAGGCAGCTCCTGCTCTAGTTGCTGTTGGGTGAACAAAGAAGCAACGACCTGGAGGACATGGTCTGAGATGGTTGGTCACTTGCAGACGGGCGGCCCCACTAGCCACAACCCCTGAGCCCTGACAGGCCCGGCCTGGCCTTGCTAGTTCGCCCATCCTTGTGCTTTCTAGACTCTGATTGGCAGTGACGTTGGGCAAAAGGTGGAGATTTACCTGGAGAACAGTGTGGGGAATCGGGAAGATGCCAGGCAGTACGTACCTGTGAGTGACCAAGGACGGTTAGCTCGGATCCACCGCTCGAGACGGGCACTTTGGCCACACTGTGCCGCCAGAGAGACAGGCATGGCAGGCACCTCCATCCAGCCTCTGTGTCTCCTGCCTTGCCTGCTCGACGACATGGCGTTTTGGGGATTTTCGGATTGAGATATCTTCTTCCCAGCATTTTTTACCTAGGTATTACTTACGGATACGGGTAGAGGAAAACTTCAACCTGGCACACCATTCACTCGTATGAGGTACCTCATAGTGGCAGGCATATTTTGCAACGGTTACAATACTTCTTTCTTTGAGCTACCATTGCAATGCTAGAGCTGCCATCCCTTTTACATCTTTTCCACTTTCGGCCTGCTACCTACTCGCGGAACCCCGTTCTCTTGCACCAAGTACCTGCATACCCGTTCTTTGTACGAAAATACCAATGGAAAAGTACAACACCACACCCATGCCTTGGCAACTCGGATTTCTCTAGTAACGATTCTTGGATAACTTCCTCCCATCTTTCCAGTTTTTTCTGCCCTCGTCGTCTGGGCTATTCTGGCTCCCGCGTCCCGCCACCCTTCCATTTATCCACCTAGGCAGGTACCTTGGCCTGCAAAGGGTGTCGACCTGAGGCTGTTCTTCTAGGCCCTACCTACCTTACCACACCGTCGTCTCGCTTTCCGCT